TTGCTTTTAGTCATACGAAGCCAGATTAAATTAAATAGCGACTTCTACAACCTTATGCTTTTCTCCAGAGTGCCGTGGTTCATTGTTTATTAATGTGTTTCAGCGGCATTTACCGACAGCTGCAGTGCTGGCTGCTCTTCCACGGGAGTTTATTCTCCCGTTAGCTCCCGGTTAGCTCACACTGCAATGGCCGCTCTAAAGTATTCACTGTCCGACTGTCACACAAGCAGCTGATACATATCCCCAGTTCCCCTTAAGTGAATGTGTGTCAGTCTGAATTGACGCTGTTTGGCATCACAACGCTGTTATGAAAGTTTCTCTGGTATAAAATGGGTGATGTTAGCATAGCAACCAAAGCTAAACTGACTACTTGCTATTGCTATCCTATTGAGGCATACACCGTTTTCTACAGGCACATTTTACCGGCGTATTTTTATTATGATTTTACTTGTGATAGTCGGACACGACAACCTGTGCAGCCCATGTATTGATTTCATCCGAGCTGCTATAATTAAAAACAAAACGTCTGCCTCTCTCCACAATGATCAATAACAGTGAACGTATGGTCAAAGTAGGGTACAAATAAACAGAATCATAAGAAGCCTGGTTAGTGTTGCATGACTTTATAAAGTGTGTTTTTTTTTTATAAATGTGTGGTTGACTTCTAGTCACTTTGCTCAGCACTACTGCTTGTAGGCAGGCATGACGAGACTCCTAAGTCGACCCATGTTCAGGGGAGGTAGATTTAGTTTCCTACACGCCTCGACGTAAGCGACGCCGCCTCTTAGCTCCGAAGCTCTTGCCTCTAGACCAGGGGGTGCCCCACACTTTTTTGGCTGGTGAGCTACTTTTGAAATGACCAGCTCACCGAGGTCTACCTACCAACCAAACATAAAATCCCAAATTGCAAGGGTTGCTGAATAATAGGTTTTATTTTTACATGGGATAACTACAATAGGGCTGCAACAAACGACTAATTTGATAATCGATTAATCTATCGATTAATTAAACGATTATCGTTTAATTAATCGATAGATTAATCGATTATCAAATTAGTCGTTTGTTGCAGCCCTATTGTAGTTATCCCATGTAAAAATAAAACCTATTATTCAGCNATTTAGCTCGCTACGCTTAGCTTCTATGCTCTTTGTCTGCTTGTTCACCCATGTTTAATCAAATGACACCCCTCCAAAGAGCCCTCCACTCTCTGTTTTTTGTTTTAATTTTTCGCTAGCTTGATTTTGACCCAGCCTGCCTCACCCTCACACCCTCTGATAACTCTGTTTGCCTTCTTGTTTTCATTCTTAGTAGCTCTAATATAAACCGTCCCTTTGGCTCCCTTTCGCCTTGTCTCTTCTAACCTGCTGGCATTTTGTCTTTCTGTCTCCCCCCTCCCCCCTCTCTCTCTCTTTACCTCGTTTTTTGCAGTCACTTACCGGCCAGTGCTGGGTGGACTGGCATGAGCGCCATCAGTAACGGTGGGGTTATGGAGCCCACACAGGGATTGAATGGGAGTATGCTAGCCAACCAGCCCGGTATGGGAGCCGCAGGATACCCCACACACTGATAGGTGGGCAGGGTGGGAGATTTGTCAACCGCTGCCTCTTATTGGCTGCACGGTGCCCCGCGGGGCTGTGTAACACCGCCTCCACCTGGGGCAGGACTAAGACTTTTACTGGGACGTGCAGCCTGATGGGAAGGCTGGCGTCTGTACGAGATGTAAATGGGATTACAATGGGTGGGGGGGTGGGGGTAACGGGAGCCAGGGAGGAGCGATTTTGACCCACACAGGTATTTACACCCTTTGTGGTAGGGAAGACTGGCCATGACCCAGGGCTCTTGCCAGTTTTAAGTTAACTGTACATTAGTATAAAACTGTAAAGGAGAAACTTTTTGATTTTTTTCGGGTTTTACAAATTGCTTCCATTTTCACATCTTTCCTCTCAGACTGACTCCGAGAGGTTTTTCTTTGGTTCTTTTTTTTAAAGATACTGTTAAAAAGTCTGAGTCGTGCTAAGTTAAGAACCTTAGTTATAATTTGAGAAATGGAAATCTGTTTAATTTTGTTTCCTCTTGGATTAAAATCAATTGCAGGGATTGTTGCCACTGCTGTTTCTCTGTAAGGGCAGATCGATATTGCACAGTTTTTTCCTCTCTTGTACTTGGGACACATTTGACTACCAAGAGTGTTTTCCTATTCATTTTTTTTGCATTCCATCTCCTTCATATCTTTTGGACAACCTCAAATCTTTTCTCGCCACATGTAAATAACCATGAATCCATTTTAAACGATGTAAGTAAAATGCTACTGTTAACTGTGGGTGCTTGCTTTCTTTTTTTGTTTTGATAACTTGACAGTTAACTCCAACATTGTGCGTAGCAGAGTGCACTATGTGAAGTGACTCTGGCACCGTGCAACACGCGATTCTTCCATGCAGGGATTAAACAGCATTGCCATGCAGTGCATACTTAAAATTTAACACGATTCAAATGTGAAAGGGCAAACATGTTTTTCCCTTTGGATGGTTTTTAAATATCTATTGAGACGCCAGTATTTTATATCAAAAATCTGAGTGGATTCAACCTTTACACTTGCTCTTTTTGCCAGAGAAATGGGGAGGCCTACATTGTAACTGTTGCCTTATAGAGCTGGTTTCTTTTAGCTGACAAAATCCTCTTTTTAATTAGGCAGTGCCTACAGACATTTTCAGACCCTTCTGTTGAGAAAGGTGTTAGCCCTGAGAACTGATGACTCTGCTCCTGTAATCAATGTTTTCTTGCTTTGTCAAATTAAAATGCTAATGCACATAAACCACACTGTGTTGTCCTTTTTATCATGGTATTGTGTTTATGTTGCTTTTAATTCAAAAACTGCTTTAGAAAACATGTACAAATCTGTTTGTATGCTTCGGTGTTCTGGTTTCAGGTTCTTTATTTGTACCCATAGGTAGATTTTGTTTGCAGAGAAAAAGACAAGGGATCCATCCTGACACACTGTAAACACAAACAACAGTACGCCCTGCTCCGTCGAATCTCAAAAATATTTCAAAAACATTTAAGAAGGAAGGAAAACACTAGTACAAACATGGACATAAAAAATTCATAAATAAATCAAATGTATCGCAGGAACTTCTTGAAGACATGTCCATACATTTGGGTACAACACGTCAAGGTTTGATGGTCAAATGTAACAGTTTGAACTGAAATGTGCATGCTTATAATCACAACATCACACAATTGCCTATTAAGTTGAAATTATGAAGTAATGTAAACTGCAACTGGACTTGCGTTCAAGGCTGTATTTCAATTTTTTTGCGTGACGAAGGGCTAATATGTGTTCCGTGTGACCGTTACGCTTCTCATCTCAAAACCTGAAACGGTAAGAACAAGTTTTGAAGCAACCCATTTTAATACGCACTATACGGTTTGATTCAACCTTCCAACAAGAGTAGCCTTCTTACCCTGCACCTAAGTATGCCTGGACATTAGTTCCTCTGGGGGGGTCACACTATTTATTGTACATTTACATTTGTTATGAAGCAGATATTGTTGGGCAACCTACTCTACTTCTCCACATCTCAAAGGTTTTGTACCACTCGGGTAGGGGACTCAGACTTTAATGCATGTGCATCATAACATATTTGATGTGACTCTAAAATGTACTTTACGTCGAATATAAACTAAGACGGATAGACATTTACGTGATGAAGCCTGCCTATTTTGTTTAGACTCTTAGAGCATCCACATTTTGGAATTGGTAGCTTTGAAGCGACGTCAATATTTGAAGCATTGTCGACTGTAATTACCTTCAGCTCAGATTTGGTGGCTGATCACGTATACACTATACAGATAAGGATTGTGTCTCTTGTGGCACATTTATACGTTCAGCAGAACAAATACACCACATAAAAAGCCTGCGTTGGAAATGTTTTCTAGAGTAAAACTATTCAAAGTAATGAATGCAGAAAAAATGTTTCCTTTGACTGTTTTATACATTTAAGCATGGATCAATCAGCTGACTGTTTTCTAGAATAATGATGTCATTGTGTCGTTAGTAGTAGTGAGAAACGCTGACACAGTTACCAAGAGCCCAAAGTGACAACTTCACAATGTTTGTTACGAGTACAAACCACATTATTATTGAAAAACAATGCATTAAGGAAAATAAGCAAACCCTCTTATTTGATGAGTTGGAACCATTACAAGGTTTTGAATAAATAATGTCAAACATCAAAAAGTTACTATTATAGTCAAACTATTTTCTGTACCAAATTTCTTTATTTGTACATTGGGGCAAAAAAGTATTTAGTCAGCCACCAATTGTGCAAGTTCTCCCACTTAAAAAGATGAGAGAGGCCTGTAATTAAAGTATAAAAGACACCTGTCCACAACCTCAAACAGTCACACTCCAAACTCCACTATGGCCAAGACCAAAGAGCTGTCAAAGGACACCAGAAACAAATGTGTAGACCTGCACCAGGCTGGGAAGACTGAATCTGCAATAGGTAAGCAGCTTGGTGTGAAGAAATCAACTGTGGGAGCAATTATTAGAAAATGGAAGACATACAAGACCACTGATAATCTCCCTCGATCTGGGGCTCCACGCAAGATCTCACCCCGTGGGGTCAAAAGATCACAAGAACGGTGAGCAAAAATCACAGA